CTATTAAAATTTATAGAAATGCAACCTCATTCTATTGAAAACCAGGATAATAATGGTAAGTATAATTACTTGTTAGATGGATTGTCAATTATCATCCTAATATAATTCATGCATAGTGATGGATGAATTAACTGGTGATGCCATTGATAATCTCTTTCTACTGAAACTTGGCTGGGCTTTAAAAAGTAATCAAATATTGGATAGATGGAATGTGGGAAAACGGATGTTATCACGGATATGAGAATACTTGAAAGGTTTTTTTTGGCTGGGAATACAAATAAGACCAATCAAATGTCAGCTACTCAAATGGTAAAAGAATTAGATAAGTTGACCATTGAGGATGAAATTGAATCAGATGACATACCTGGTATTCCAATGGTAGAAAGATGGATTACTCGGTATACACAAGCTTTAAGATGTGAGACGGCAGCTGAAAAACAGAACATAGTTGGTAATAACAATGAGGAAAGTCAGATAATCTGATTGACAACCCCGATCAAAGTGACAACAGTGGCCAAAATGTTCAAGAAAGTAGATCTTCTTTCAATATAGAAAAGAGGCAGAAAAAACGAAGAAAATGATAATACTGTTTTACTTACAATAAAAACATGAAAATGATTATACATTGCATTTATTAAAATACTGTAGTATAATACCAGAATTATGTAATTTATGACACCAAAGTTTTGTAAAGTAGGCTAGTGCTTTACGGTAAATCCATAAAGCAGGCCAAAATTTGAAATTTTGATTTTGACATAATGTTTTGATATCCAAAATCAGCATTCCTGATGTTTAAAAGTCTTGAACGAAGAGTCCAAAGTGGATAACGAGTAAATAAATAAATTGCTGGATCAATTTTGCATTATTTTTCATTTTGATTGTATGAGTTCATGTGACAGTCTAAAGAGTTGCACTTGTGCTGATTTTTTCAAGTTCGGGTAGATTATATATAAATCGTTGGCAATGTGGTACTAATTGTTGATTCCTATTTACTCATATAGTACCAATTAATGTTATTTCCTTACTTAACCAACTGTTCATATGCAAATGCCTATGTTTGCCTCTAATTTTCTTTTATGATTTTAGATACCTTTCTCTTTGATAATAATGCAATATATCTAACCAGTTATATAGTTGTTTTTGTAAAGAATTAAAGTTTGAAGTTATTAATTTCAATAATTTAGGTATTAGCCTGACTTATATTTTTTTATTTTCAAAACTCAAAAAAACTTTGTCCATCCTTAATTTATAATGTTCAGGAAGTATCTTCACAAGAATTTTCATTTTTTCTTTTGTTTTTCTTGGATTTAACTCATAAATTGCTTTGTCTTTACCCTTTGTATTTCTAATTAGTTGAAATCTTTATTCTTGTAAACTTAATTGATGTTTGGTATTTTTATAATCTTCGGTATTTTTATAATTTTTGGCATTAATATTTTCAAAATCTTCAATATCAATATTTTCAAAATCTTCAGCACTATTATTATTGACATTTTTATCTAAGAGTTCTATTGGTACTGCAGATATTTCAGATAATATAAATCCCACAGATAATTCAGATCTTGAAGATATTACAACAATAGAATCCTAATTTGGAGGCCAATTTTCTAAATATTCTATTTTTTCCTTGAATTTTTTTCTTGGATGGCAAACTCTCCATTTATATATTTTAAAGATTTTATTTGATCTTTTAAAGTATTAACCTTGTTTTTTAATTCAATATTTTTTTTTTTTAGCTCTTTAACTTGTTTGCAAATTTTTAATTTGAACCTTTAAATAAATTGGTTGATTAGTAAAGATAAGATTTATTTAATAATTCAGTATTAATTTAATTTTGTATCTTTTTTAGTTATTATATTAGCTTCTTATATTAGTAGAAACTGGATAGATGGTTTTTTTTCAATCAATTGCCATACTGAAGTAGGATTTATGGAGATTTTATATCAGATAATATTGAACGAGATCTTACTTATTGAACTTCTAACAAAACCTGGGAAGACTTTGAAGGTTGCTGTAAATGCAAAGGTTGCTGTGATTACGAAGATTGCCATAATTGCAAAGGTTGCTATAATTGTAAAGATTGTTATAATTGCGAAGGTTGTTATAATTACAAAGATTACTATAATCACAAAGATTGTTATAATTACAAAGATTGTGAAGATAGTGAAGATTGTAAAAATTGTGAAGGTTGTGAAGGTTATGAAGATTGCAAAGGTTGCAAAGATTATGAAAATTGTGAAGATTGCAAAAATTGCGAAGACTACAAAAATAATGAAAGTTGTTCTCTATAGGATTTTTTTGCTGAAGTTTTTTTTGCTTATTTAGACATTTTTGATTTTAGATTTTATTAAAAAAAGGAATATTTATATAAAATTATTTATATTATAAAATTATATTTTTGATATATTATATGATTTGTTAACTATTTGTTTTTCATATAATATAATATACAGTGAACCCTCTCTAAATGCACACCCCTCGGGACCATAGGAAAATTTTTGAAAAATGTGCATTTATAGAG